AACAGCAGAGATCATTGTATTAATTACCAAGCATTAACTTGAAAGAAGTGCTTTGTAATCTAAAATTAACGCTAAATTTACATAATACCTTCATGTTAATTCTTATTATTAAATACAATTCCAAAAAAACGATATTTTTACTTTTATTCAGATTTCTAATATACGTACTGAGCCGCAGAACTAAACCTGATGGATAAGAATAAATGATGATATATTAGCTAAACATTAATTTTCATTATTCTAAATATTCTGATTAATCCACCTACAGTATTTACTTTCTTTATTATATTCTTAACTGGAATAGTTCACTTTTATGACTGCTAATTTGCTTGTTAAATAATGTTACATTTCTCTCCATAAACTGTGAAATCTGGCTGAGAGAAAAGTGTTTCTATATGGGTATGATAATAATAAAATTAATTATAATACAATTAATTATTTTATTTTATTATTATTTTTATTATTATTATTGGTAGTAGTAGTAGCATTTTGATTATAAGTCAAAGCTTCCTTTCATAATTATTTATTCCTTATTTATCGACTCACTGTAACAGGAACCTCGCTTAATAAAACACAGGTTAAAATGTAACACGGTATGTGTTATAACTTCACACCAATACGTTATATTAACACATCAACACTCGTCAAGGCCAGATGGGACATTGCCAAGTTAAGGGTAATCTCTAAATTTACGAAGAGGTAATGTAATCGGTGGGTAATTACGTCAAGTTACTTTTAATCAGTAAAGAGGAAATGTGATTCGTGTTCCTGTTCCCTCGAGGCACAAGTTGAAATGAATTCCTTAACAGACGTGAGAAAATTTTCTCACAACACAAATCTGTATGCTTTTTATTTATATTATCATCATAATCATTATTATCATTATTACATTCACTGGGAAGCATTGATATATATATATATATATATATATATATATATATATATATATATATATATATTATATATATATATATATATATATATATATATATATATATATGAGAGTGGCACCGTTTGTTAACCACCAGCAAGTGGTATTTAATCAATAACAACACTGCGACTAGCCGAGGATTCGAACCCGTGTTGTATTAGCCAGCCTTATGGTTAGCGAAAATTCAGGACGTTCTAACCCACGGGACCATACAATCCTAAATTGTATGGTCCCGTGGGTTAGAGCGTCCTGAATTTTTGCTCACTATAAGGCGGGTTAAAACAACACGGGTTCGAATCCTCGGCTAGTCGCAGTGTTGTTATTGACAAGCCACGGGGAATAGAAGTCTTCAGCTCAAATACTTTCACACGTCTCCGTGAGTCATCGGAATCTATTCAATGTTGCAAGAGTAGCAACATGAGGAATGACGGGAAGTTTTCTCAGAGTAAGGAAGCGTGGTGACACCAGCCAGATCCTCTTCTAAGACTGGCACCGTTCGTCACGCAGGTATCCGGTCCCCTCAACACCCCTTCCCCTTGAGGTAGGGTCTGTAGAGAGGACCTCCGAGATTTACAGAAAGGGAGGAAACAAAATAAGAATTATCCACTAATGCAGTGTACTCTCTTGTGTCACATGACTTGTTGACAGCGATTAGAAGTAGCATAGCGCTGGCTATTAAATTTCCCATTTTGTTTCCCCTCTTTCTGTAAATCTCGGAGGTCCTCTCTACCCTACCTCAAATGGGAAGGGGTGCTGAGGGGACGGGATGCTTGGTTGACGAACGGTGCCACTCTTTATATATATATATATATATATATATATATATATATATATATATATATATATATATATATATATATATGTATATATGAATATATATATATGTATGTGTGTGTGTATGTGTGTACTCACCTAGATGTACTCACCAAGTTGAGGTTGCGGGGGTCGAGTCCAAGCTCCTGGCCCCGCCTCTTCACTGGTCGCTACTAGGTCACTCTCCCGGAACCGTGAGCTTTATCATACCTCTGCTTAAGGCTATGTATGGATTCTGCCTCCACTACATCGCTTCCCAAATTATTCCACTTCCTGACTACTCTGTGGCTGAAGAAATACTTCCTAACATCCCTGTGATTCATCTGTGTCTTCAACTTCCAACTGTGTCCTCTTGTTGCTGTGTCCCATCTCTGTCTGTGTATGTGTGTGTGTATGTGTTTGTGTATGTTTGTGTGTATGTGTGTGTGTGTGTGTGTATGTGTGTGTGTATGTGTGTGTGTGTATGTGTGTCTGTGTGTGTATGTGTGTGTGTGTGTGTATGTGTATGTGTGTGTGTACTCACCTATTTGTACTCACCTATTTGTAGTTGCAGGGGTCGAGTCCAAGCTCCTGGCCCCGCCTCTTCACTGGTCGCTACTAGGTCACTCTCCCTGAACCATGAGCTTTATCGTACCTCTGCTTAAAGCTATGTATGGATCCTGACTCCACTACATCGCTTCCCAAACTATTCCACTTCCTGACTACTCTGTGGCTGAAGAAATACTTCCTAACATCCCTTTGATTCATCTGTGTCTTCAACTTCCAACTGTGTCCCCTTGTTACTGTGTCCGGTCTCTGGAACATCCTGTCTTTGTCCACCTTGTCAATTCCTCTCAGTATTTTGTAAGTCGTTATCATGTCCCCCTATCTCTCCTGTCCTCCAGTGTCGTCAGGTTGATTTCCCTTAACCTCTCCTCATAGGACATGCCTCTTAGCTCTGGGACTAGTCTTGTTGCAAACCTTTGCACTTTCTCTAGTTTCTTTACATGCTTGGCTAGGTGTGGGTTCCAAACTGGTGCCGCATACTCCAATATGGGCCTAACGTACACGGTGTACAGGGTCCTGAACGATTCCTTATTAAGATGTCGGAATGCTGTTCTGAGGTTTGCTAGGCGCCCATATGCTGCAGCAGTTATTTGGTTGATGTGCGCTTCAGGAGATGTGCCTGGTGTTATACTCACCAGTGTGTGTGTGTGTGTGTGTGTGTGTGTGTGTGTGTGTGTGTGTGTGTGTGTGTGTGTGTGTGTGTGTGTTTGCGTGTGTGTGTGTGTTTGTGTGTATGTGTGTGTGTGTGTGTGTGTGTGTGTGTGTGTGTGTGTGTGTGTGTGTGTGTGTGTGTGTGTGTGTGTGTGTGTATGTATGTGTGTGTGTGTGTGTATGTGTGTGTGTGTGTGTGTGTGTGTGTGTGTGTGTGTGTGTGTGTGTGTGTGTGTGTGTGTGTGTGTGTGTGTGTATGTGTGTGTATGTGTGTGTGCGTAAAATAAACCACCAAGGATAGGGGGGGGGGTGAATGTAATTTTCAACGGCCTATCGCACCGATTGCAAGGTGTATATAAAAGTTTTGGAATAGTGTATCGAAGAAATAACCTAAAAGAGAATGTAAAAAAGAGTAATGTACTGAGATACTTAAGGAATGATTAACCTTAGATCAAAATAGAAAAAAGTGTGGAGAGAATCATTTTGTTTAGGTCCTCTGTGGTGGATGTGCTGGCAGATGGAAGTACGAAGTCTCAGATCAGTAAGGCTACGAGAGTGTTATGAAAGGTAAAAAAGAGGGATGCGTAAAAGTGTAGTGCTGCGCTGTATAAGTGTGAATCAAGGACTCTGAATGCTGCAACCAGGAGGAGGCTGGAGGCAGCGAGTCTTAGAGCGAGCAATGTCTCTTCTGTATGTTACAACATGGAGACCAGAGGCAGTGAGTATCAAGCAAAATTTATCAATGCTGTAGCGAGGAGAAGACTAGAAACCAGTGTCTGGTGTGGAGTTTGTGTTGAATATAAGTAATGAAAGTGGTGTGTTGGTACGAAAGGTATAATCCAAAGGACGAAAAAAGTTTTTGATGTGATGTGGTAAAATACAGCACATGGATTATGGCAGACATGAAAATGTATTAAAATGTAAAAATTATTTAAATGTATGAACCTTGAGTGGAGAAGGAATCCTGGAGGTTAGAGAAGCTTGTCATGGTATTTAGAGGACGGAGGATCGAGCCTACAAAACCACCTGCGCCAAATGATCTACACAGGCTTAGCGCCTTATGTAAGTATAATAATAATAATAATAATAATAATAATAATAATAATAATAATAATAATAATAATAATAATAATAATAATAAATCTTTTTGCGAATGGAAGAACTGAAGGGAGATGCTCTAGGAAGAGTTGGAATAAGGATATGAAGGTTTTGAGAGGTGGGAGCTTGAATATCTGACAGGTATGTGTGAACGGGTTAGATCAAAATGGAGCAGAGTGGTGATTGGAGTGAGAGGAAGGCAATATCCATCCATGAAGGGTTTCCTGGGAGACCTGATAGCCAGACTGGCATTTAAAAATGGGAGCAAGAGTGCCTGTACTGGGATAGTCAGGATAGTATGTATGTCTTGAAGTATACAGACATCAGGCAACAACATACATGATGTGTGTGTAAAAAATGAATTTTTCTTAGATAAGAGTTTAGTGTTCCATTTTTTTTTAACCTATGGCAGGAATTTGCTTTGAATGATAATGTAAATTTTAAACTAACATAATTTAAATACCTTAAAAAAAACAGTTTATTTCAATGATGAGCGAAACATCGCCATCAATAAAAGCCTTTACTGCCCTCCTCTCTCTTTCTCTCTCTCTCTGATTATTTAATTCCCTCTCCATCTATCTCTCTATATCTGTTTCTCTCTTGGTTTTAAACATCTATGTTCCTGTTTTTTACCTTTCACATCTGTCTCTGTATATATTGCTCTATTTTACATACATCCTTCTTCATGTTTTTTCTCTTCCTTTTCATTCGGGTTATAAATATAAAACTCAGTAGATTACAGGAAAAAAAAAAAATTATGTGCCCACTCGAGTCATGGCGGCTGATCCAACAAACATCGAAGCGAATATTTTCCTGAATTATCATGTCCAGGACAATATTCGCTTCGATGTTTGTTGCACAGATACTTGAGTGTCAATGTTTGAGCCTATAGGTCAATGGGCCTTTTGCAAGGCCTGTTGAAGTCTTGCTCCGGTCTCAGAGCCTTTATGTTTGTCCTCAGGACTCCTCAGCATCGCCACGATGACGTGGATCCAGAGGACGAGAGAGAGATTCTTCGCCTCATTAAACCTGTGGATAAGGAATCCATAGATTATATCCATACTGACCCGCATGGCTTGTCTCCCAAGCGCCCCATTGTGAGTAATTACATATTTATGGTCTCCTATTTGTAGCTACCCATTCTGGATTACTAATTTAGAATTATTATCTAGTTATAGGAACATAGCTCTGGTAGAGGTGCTTTGTATTTAGTGTTATTGGATTGTAATAGTGGTGGGGATGGTGGTGGTGTTGATGGGGGTGGTGGTGGTAGTGGGGACGATGGTGGTGGTGGTGGGGATGGTGGTGGTGAGGATGATGGTGGTGGTGGGGATGATGGTCGTGAGCGGTGGTGCGCTGTGGTGATGAAAGTGGTGGTGATGGTGGTGATGGTGATGGTAGTGTTGGCTGGAGTAGTGATGGTACTATTGCTGGTGAAACAGGGTGGTGTTGATGGTTTCGTGGTGATGATGGTGAGTTGTGGTGATGGTGAATGTGATGGTAAGTGCTTCTGATAGTAGTGAGATGGTAGTGTTTGCAGCTGCGATCACGATAACAATAATAATAATAATAATAATAATAATAATAATAATAATAATAATAATAATAATAATAATAATAATAATAATAATAATATCAGCATAGAAGATTAAGCTTGATCCCTCCCTCCCTCCCTTCCTTCTTTCTTTACCTACTTCCTTCTTTTTTCCTTCTTCCTTCCCTTCCTTCTCTGTCTCATCCCTTCCTCCCTCTCCACCACCTGCCCTTTTTCCAGTCCACTCAAAAGGGCATGAGAGGCAATTCTGACCCCTAAAAGCAGTTTACCTATATTGCATTGGCTCTCTAAACGATGCCAGTGGTTAGGAAAGTGAACGGGATTTTCTTAGTAAAACAACAAGTTAATTTGTCAAGGTAGTGAGGTTGCTGGAGAATGGGTCGTTTTGTAAGGGGGAGAAGGTGGTTGCTAGGTAAAGGGGTCATGTGAGTGGATCCTTATAGGAGGGGGTCCAAATAGGAAGGGAATCTTTATTGGAGAGGGTGGTCATCACGTGAGTTTTAGTGTTGACGGGGATACAGTTTGTGTTGACGGGGATACAGGAGGGATGAAGAACTTCACCTGGCCTTTGTATTGATATGTGATAACTGGGATCCACAAATGGCAGGTTGTTCCTGGGATCTGACTAGCGTATATGACATGTTCCATGTGCTTGAGTTGTTCCTTGTACTTGAGTTATTGTGTCTTGTACTTGAGCTGTTGTTTCTTGTTCTTGAGTTGCTGTTCCTTGTATTTAAGTTATGTGTATGTGTCGTTGAGTACAAGTGAACCGGGTCATCACGGATCACATTAACTGACAAGCAGGTAGGTATGTGGTGGGGCAGAGTCCAAAAAAAATTAAACCAGGTCACCAACCGGGGACCTATCACAAACCTGTTTGCACAGCAGAAATTCTAGTTCTCAACATTTCTTCATGACCGTGGTGCAGAGGTCGCACGGTTGGTTTATCAGGCCCCGAGCAACCCAAACGAGTTTTATGTATCACACTCTAAAGAGACAGTTCGAAGTAAATAATAACTAATGATGAAAGAGGTTTAAGTTTAGAGCATGTCGTCGACTGCATGAGTTAATTGCTGTTATTGCATTCACGGGAAACGCTAAGCCCGTAATGGGAGGGGAGGTCATACAGCGCCCTCGGGGGAGGGGGATAGAAGGCATTCAGGTATAATTCAAGGAAGAGATTAAGAGCCCCTCAAATCGAGGGGCCTAATCATTTAAGAAAACTTTAAATCCCTAATGTAGTGGGCAAAGTAAAAATTATCAGGGATTTACACTGATATATACTTCCCTGGGTGTGATTCCTCGGAGTATATACGATGAGATTTACACACCTTTCGGTATATATACCCCTTGAGCCTCACACACAGTTATACACATTCCTTGGCGTAGTTCCTCGGTGTATATACGCTGAGATTTACTCACCACTCGGTGTATATACACTGATTTTTACTCATCACTCTGTGTATATACCCTGTGGAGTGGTAACGTGTGTGTGCCTCACCCTGAGGAAGCGAGGAATTGGAGTTGGTTATTATAGGAGTAACTGCCAAGTTAGACCAGTTAAATTAATTCAATATACTCATGGAGAAGCGCTAAACCACTCCCCATGATATAAATTAGTTGGGATTAATATATCTTATTATTTGAAATATATGAAGCCAACATTTATTGAGGTAATAAGAAACGTATATAGATTCAAAAAAATAATTCGCAGACATTCAGATCAAGCTAAAAAAATAATGTTACTTTTAAGGTTTGAAATTATTTACTAGTAATTTTTTTATGAGACAGGAAAAAAAAATACTTTTGAGGTAATCGAACAAGATAATTTAATAATAAGGAATTTGTACCAATGGAAAAATATACTGTAAATAGCAGAGGAGCTTATAAATACCATCTATGATCTGTGAATTATTATAATCATAACTAGGCGCTAAACCTCTAAAGATGTTTATTTTAGACTTTTCCTGACCTCAAAACCTTTATTATGGATCATGCAAGGTTAGCCAGATATGGACAGCAAATCTCCGCTTCTCTTCAACATGTAAGGAAAACTGAGCATCAAGTTCACTGGGAGAATACTTAAATTACATACATCGATATTTTTAATTTAAAAAAAAATAAGGATAATTTATTCGATTTGTGTCAGCAACATTTCAGATAGCGTGCTAACATAGACAGGACTCGCAGCAATGGCTTTAAATTTGAAAAATTCAGATTCAGGAAGGATATAGGGAAGCACTGGTTTGGTAATGGAGTTGTGCATGCGTGGAACAAACTCCCGAGTACCGTCATAGACGTTAAAACGTTGTGTAGTTTTAAAAATAGGTTGGATAAATACATGAGTAGGTGTGAGTTGGACCTGACTAGCTTGTGCTACTGGGTCGGATGCACTGCTGCTCCCTTAAGTGACGTGTCGGACCTCACTAGGTCAAAGCATTGGCTTAAGCCGGTGGGAGAATGGAGCTGCCTCGCATAGGCCAGTAAGCCTGTTGCAGTGTTCCTTCTTTCTTATGTTCTTATGTTCTTGCTGGCGGTTACTAGACTCAAGAACAAGAACTGGCCATGCTAAGCTACTCTGACTCCCTCCCACTCATGTGGAACTTGGAGTAGCGTCTTTGGGTAACGTGACAAGAGATAATTCTGAGCTGCAAGTTGTGGGATTACATGACCTTGCCTTAGCATGGCCAGGTTACCTGATGGTGCAGGTGACCTGGAGACACCTGGTGGCTGTGGCCAGGATGAGAAACAGCTTTATTGTTAAGTGCTTGTAGATGCTAAAGCTGCCCTGCTTCTGTGGGATGGTATTTGAGATTGCTATAAGGGAGGCTTCTCAGTATTTCCTTCCGTACAGGTCACTTTCCTGGGTGACCAGCTTAGCGTCATCTCATCCCATGAGGTATTCCTCGTCGTTTCTGTGATGTACATAGGTGTTACTTAGACTTTTACGGCCGTTCGTTAATTTTCAGTTCGAGGAGCCTCGCCGTTTCACCTACGTATTTCGTGTAACATCCCCACAGGGAATGACATGGACTCTTGCACCAATGGCTGGGACTGTTCTCTTCATTTAACGCACAAAATATTAAGCACAGGAGGAGGGTTGTAAATAGTATGGTGATACAGGCCTCAAATCCTCATCATTAGGAATGCTGAAGCCACTCGTGGCGAATCGTTTCCTTTAATGAATGTACTGAACTGTACACGAGTGTCCTTTTGCACAGAGGAGGAAGAGTTGGTTGTCGGTAATAGCGGGTACATTGGACGTCACTCTGCTGGCTGGTAACACCTTAGTCATTGTGCTACCAGCCAGCAGCATGGCGAGTACAGTTATGCACTGATAGTTTTGGAAGGTGAAAAAGCTAGATTAGGTTACGTTAGGTAAAGCTAATCGACGATAGTCAAGGTTTGGTTAAATTAAGTTAAACTTAAGATTCGGTTAGCTATGATTAAGTTTGGTTAGGCTAAGCTAGATTAGGTCTCTAGGTTAGTTTATATTATATTTCTGACTTTGGTTTAGGTTGCTCGGTTAGTTTTATTAATAAAATAAGTCTGCGTATTTAAAAATTTGTATAATTTTGCTGCCTAATTTCCTATGAAGACAAAACCTCAGGTAATCTAACAACTATGTATATAAAAATCTAACATTTGATCTAAAAAAAGTTATTTAATTAAATCTAAACAATAATTAATTTTTTGTCAGTTCCTGGGCAGCAAATAAGCTATTTTTTTTAATGGCTCTAGAAAAATTTATGACGTTACCTAGACAGTGACTTGCAAATTTCCCTGTCTAGGCAATCTCTTTTAACCTGGTCTAGCTAGTAATTAACCTCTTTGTCTGTAGACTACCTCTATTAACCTTACCTAGTCCTGTAATTAACACCTTTGTACATTCACAGCCCACGACCTACCTGATCCGCAGACCAGTGCTGGGACCTGTGTATGAGACCAGTGGACCTCGCTTCCGCAACACCCCAAGAGCTACGCTCAACTTGGGAACCCCGAGAGCCACCGTCAGCTTGGCCACCCCGACGGTCACACTTAATCTAGCCAGCCTGCAACACAGGCCCATCTACGGCGTTCCCTTCTCACTGCCCTACAAGAGTCTTCCCTACAAGAGCATTCCTTTCAAGAACCTCCAGCGAGGCTGGAACTGGTGAAGAGGAGGAATGGGAAAAAAGAAAAATTTAAAGAGGATGAAGGAAGGGAAACGGGTGGGAATATATAGCAAACGCTAGAGAGGAGTGAGGAATATGTAGTCCCAGTCTTGGGTATTATATCATAAAACCATTGAGCATATTCAACAACTTAATGTTCATTCACTTAATTCGCTGACATATTCAACGTCTACCTACAATATTAGTCAATCACTTCTTTAGCGTTCTTCTACACAAATCACTCTATAAATACAAACATTAGTTAGAATAGACAAATATTTTAGTGAAGAGGCAGTGACTGGACCAGGGGAGGGCAGTCATGATAAGGAATTGGACACAAGTGCAACATCTGAGTATCTTTATTGTAGACGTTTCGCCTAACAGTGGATTTATCAATGAAAATTCAAGGACATAATGGGAAGTCTGTAGAACTGTATACGAAACATGAGGAAATCAGCCCCAGGCTAAGGGACTGATGACCTTGTCTTTTGTACATAGTTCTACTGTCTTCCCATTATGTCCTGAATTTGTACTGATAAAGCCAATGGATGATGAAACGTCTACAATAAGGATACCCAGATGTTACACTTGTCTCTACGTCTTCATCTTGTAGGTACTGTATACCATACACGTACAGCATGGGCTGTAATATTGACTGACGGGACACATCAAACATAAATATGCCTTGCGGGCCACACGCTTTTGTCGATGACAAATTTTAAGTCGTAAATAATAGCTACTTTCGTTCACAGAAAAGGTTCAGACACACAATTGATATCTATTAAAAATAAAGCTGCAGAACAACATGTCATCGGACAGGTAATCATTTAATAAATCCATTTTTATTTTGATGGTAACGTATGAAGCTTAGACACGACAGATACCTGCAGTTATCAGGTGGGAGATAGTGGGTGTTTTTAGTGTTATTGTAGTTCTTTAGGGCCACTAAAGCTTGCGCCTCTTAGGAATGGATGAAGTGACTCTTAATCTCCTGGGTCAGAAGTAAATATAGAGACCAAGAGAAGAAAGAAAAGAATAAAGAACATCCTGGCAACTTCGGGGATACCTGAAGATACGAACGCTGGAGCGCAGGTGGCGCTGACATGCACTCACTCCAGGATTAACTCAATCCGGGATTAACTCTCAATCCGGGAATAACAGAAAGGATAACCAAAGAAACGTATCTGTCCAGATATCAAGCTAACATACTACATACTTATCTAAACGGCTATATTCAGTGGGAACCAGCGTTGTTTAGTCTTGTTGTTAAGACTGACCAACACCCTATCACGATTAGGACAATTAAATTCTTCATTAAGCTGGAGACACTATATTTTTTTTTTTTTGTAAACAGCTAGGCACATTGGCGGACAGTATTTTGCCCACCCATAGGATAGAGGAAGGAGGGAAGAGGTGGTTCGAGGAAGATGACATAAAGAAAGGTGCGGAATAAGAAACTAGAGGAAAGAGGTACTTCATAACAGAAGCTGGAAAGTAATCAGAAGGGATGAACTAGACTGTCACTGTAGGGGTCATACAGCGCATGAGGGAATGGGTAATATCGCGTTTGATCCGAGGAAGTGGAGAATAGTTCCAAATCTCTGGATCAAAAACCCTTCACCATCACGAAGAACCCCCCCATTGATCGGTGTGACGGAACGTAACACAGAGGCTGAGGCCGGGTTGAGGAGGCAGTCGAAAGGATAAAGAGGAACGTTATGGGTCAAAGGAAATGCGTCTTTTTCTTCTTCTTCTTCTTTTTCTTCTGATACTTCTACTAACAAATTAAATCCTATTGTTAATTGAAAATTGAACCAATTTTTGCTACCAAATTAAATCCCATTAATGCTAAAAAATAAATCCCATTACTGCTGCAAGATAAATCCCATTGTTACTAAAAGGGAAATAAATTAATTTTTTGCTAAAAAAAAATTGTTTTTTTTTTTAATTGTTTCATTCAGTGAGATTTTTCAGTTTTCAGGACTGAATTCTCGTCTTATTTTTCCCTGCCCCATACAAGAGGCTCTTGATCCAGGAAATTAGAGACTCCTTCCTCTTCCTGGACTCAAAAGCCGATTACCTACCGTTACTTCCCCCCTTAATTGAATAAGAAATAATGAATATGCAAAATGTTATCTTTTCCCTTTCCTTCTCCTCCTCCTTCTCCTCATCTTTTCTCCCCTCTTCTTCTCCTTGTCTTCCTTCTCCCTCCTCCTCCTCCTTCTCCTCATCTTTTCTCCCCTCTTCTTCTCCTTGTCTTCCTTCTCCCTCCTCCTCCTCCTTCTCCTCATCTTTTCTCCCCTCTTCTTCTCCTTGTCTTCCTTCTCCCCTCCTCCTCCTCCTTCTCCTCATCTTTTCTCCCCTCTTCTTCTCCTTGTCTTCCTTCTCCCTTCTTCGCCTCCTCGTTTTCTGCCTCTCTCCCTCCCTCCCTGTCTCCCTCCATCCCTCCTCCCTCTCTCTCCTCCATCCCCCGCTTCCTCTCTTCCTCCATCCCTCCCTCCCCCTCTCCCTCGATCCCCCCCTTCCTCTCTTCCTCCATCGCTCCCTCCCTCTCTCCCTCCATCCCCCCTTTCCTCTTTTCCTCCATCCCTCCCTCCCTCCCTCTCTCCCTCCATCCCTCCCTCCCTCTCTCCCTCCATCCCTCCCTCTCCCTCTCCCTCCATCCCCCCTTCCTCTCTCCCTCCATCCCTCCCTCCCTCTCTTCCTCCATCCCTCCTCCCCCTCTCCCTCCAACCCCTTTCCTCTCTCCCTCCATCCCTCCCTTCCTCTCTTCCTCCATCCGTCCCTCCCCCTCTCCCTCCATCCCCCCTTCCTCTCTCCCTCCATCCCCCCCTCCCTCTCTCCCTCCATCCCTCCCTCCCTCCCTCCCCCTCTCCTCCTTTCCTCTCTCCCTCCATCCCTCCCTTCCTCTCTTCCTCCATCCGTCCCTCCCCCTCTCCCTCCATCCCCCCTTCCTCTCTCCCTCCATCCCCCCCTCCCTCTCTCCCTCCATCCCTCCCTCCCTCCCTCCCCCTCTCCTCCTTTCCTCTCTCCCTCCATCCCTCCCTTCCTCTCTTCCTCCATCCGTCCCTCCCCCTCGCCCTCCATCCCCCCTTCCTCTCTCCCTCCATCCCCCCTTCCTCTCTCCCTCCATCCCCCCCTCCCTCTCTCCCTCCATCCCTCCACTCCCTCCCTCCCCCTCTCCTCCTCCCCATCCATCACTCCCTCTCAATAAATGGAAAACATTGCATCTATTTTTTTAGTAATTTCTAAAGTTTATTTTGAATAAAGATTTAGCATTCTATAACTAGACTTTTTATTCCTATCAATATTTTTTACCCCGAAAAAGAAAGAGAACTTCAGAAGCTGCATATTTTGTGTCAATGTACCTAATTTCCCTTTCTAAAAATGGCTATTTTTTTACGTCATTTTATATGTTATACGAGGGGCTAAACCCGTGTGGGTCAAGTGCAATATAGTGGTGGAGACTCGACCCTCCGTTCGCTGCGAGACATGTGCTACCTAACTTTACTCATCTGTCTTCATTTTACAACAACCAAAGGTGGGGTGGGAGGAGTTGAATGATAGCTATAGGCCCTTCGTGTTGTAATCAACACGTCATCAGGAGCTGGCAATGCTGCAGAAAAGAGGAGGAGGTCCAAGCAAATACGATCACAGGAAGTGCGCTCTTTTCTGCAACATTACAAGCTCCTGATGATGAGTTGATTGCAACACGAAAGGCCTAGAGCTATCAGTCAGCTTCCCTTGTGGTTGTTTTGCATGTATACGTCTATATCTATCTATCTATCTATTTATCTCTCTCTCTCTCTCTCCGTATATATATATATGTATATATATATATATATATATATATATATATATATATATATATATATATATATATATATATATATATATATATATATATATATATAATATATATATATGTCTTGCCGAATATGTAAAACTGGTCAATTAGCAAGAACTCATTTAAAATTAAGCCCTTTCTAAAATTTTCTCTTATACGTTTAAAGAAGTAATTTTTTCATTAATTTTGATGTAAAAAAATTTAATTTTGCTCCAAAAGAATCTTAGAAAACTTACCTAACCTTATCATAACAAGAACAATTTATTTTAGCCTAATCCAACTAAATATAATTTAGATTTGTTTACAATAATTTAATACTAAACAAACACAGTGAAATATATTTTTTTAGTTAGGTTCAGGGTGATTTTGGCGAAATTGTTGCATACACAAATTTTCGCTTGTCCTATATGGCAAGATGAACGTTGCTATTTAAGCCAAGATCGCAAGTTCTGCCTATTCGGCACGACATATATATATATATATATATATATATATATATATATATATATATATATATGTAAAAGGATTTAATAATAAAAGAAAAACTTTATTACGTATAATGTCAATGACACTAACATTGTTTTAATATTTGTATTTATTGATAAGATATAATAATGCATAATTTTTTAAATATTTTGTATATATATATATATTTTTTTTTGGAGCTGGCACTACACTTCGGATTATTTTTATAGGGGGAGTTTTGTATTTGAAAAAAAATTGAACATTATTAACGTTAGTTTAGTTTCCAAAATTTATTTAGAATGTCATAAAGAATAACTATTTGCTATATTTTTATTGACATATTTTCGGTTACGAATGTGAAAAGAAAGTGATGTATTGTTGTCTTTGTTTGTCAGAGATATTAATTATCTGATAATTATACAATGGTTAATAATGTAGTTTTTGGTTTCCTTTCCTACATTTCGTTAATATTATATATATATATATATATATATATATATATATATATATATATATATATATATATATATATATATATATATATATATATATATATATATATTATATATATATATATATATATATATATATATATATATATATATATAAAATATGTGTGGGGACGGGGTAGAGGAGGTGTGGCATCGTCCTTGCATATATGAAGAGAATCTCCAGTCTGGCTACACAGGTGACAAATATCTCTTAATTCACTCCTCTATGATTGAGGTTCGAACCTCCTAGCATAGCCGGACGGTCGGATCATCATGGCGACATCGTCGAGGATCAACCAACCCTTATCGAGCCAGCGGATACTCCTGAAATCGCGGTTAGGGGATGTCGGGAAGACAGCGGTGAGCGCTGTGCGGTGGCAGCGGGAGTACCACCACCCGCCGCCGTTGCTTGCGGAACAGCTTCCGGCAATCCATTCGTCGTTGTCTCGGTCCCATGTGCTGAAGGGGCGACCGTGGTGGTGGGTGAGGAAAGGATCCACGCTCACGTTGCCAGAGAAACCCTCTGTGATGAGGCGGAAGTTGCTGGACTCGTCTTCAACCCTGCTCAAAGATGAGAGACGAGTGAGACTCAAAGAAAATAACTTGAAGACTAACTACCATCAACCAGATAGACACCAGACAAATAAACAATCAGGTAGATGACAGGTAAACTTACACAGACAAACATAAAGGAAGAAGGTCACTGATTTTGTTAATACTGCTTTCATGACAGACACTCCAGGGAGACCTATAGCATCGTGTGACAAATACGCAGATGATGGTATTAAAACACTCGAATAATGAACTCACAAATGATACAATGATTCTAGATGCCACCATGAGGTTGCCTGTTGCCCTGCAACGTTGCTTTTTTTAAGGTAGAGGAGTGAACCTAGGACATACGATAAGGTGATGAATGCAAGCCTGTAACCTGCCTTCAAGAGGTTATGTAATCTTTAAAATTAGCATACTGTATCTTGCTCCTACCTTTGCGATGTCTATTGATCTCTAAGCCCTCCTGAAGGCCATGTAGCGTCCTTACCTGGTTTGGGTCTGTTCTTGGAACCCACTTGAATATGAAGAAATGGCGATGTTGCGGTGTTCTAGAACCTGCCTGAGAACTGTGTACTGTATGAAATCTTACTGAAGGTAGTGTATGGTGGGAGGTACCTCCCCAGTATCTTACCTGAAGTTGGAGTACTAAACGAGGAGCCTACCTGAAGCTGCAGTACCAGGCCTACTGAAGTACTGTGTCTGGGATCTATTTGACGTTAGAGAACTGGAATTAAAACCTGAGGTTAGCGTACTGAAGCTTGAACCTACTTGAACCTGGAATACTAAGCCTGGAACCTTCCGTAAATTGGAGAATAGGGTTTGAAACTAACCAGAAGCTGGTTTATTTGGTCTGAAACTTAACAGAAGTTTGAGAACTGGGCTTGAAACCTAAATGAAGTTTGTACTTGATCTGAAACCTACCTTACTTTGGAGAACTGAGCCTGGAACCTACCTAAAGCTGGAGAACTGGGCTTGGAACCCACCTAAAGTTTGAATACTTGGCCTCAAAGTAGCCCCTCTCCATGTCGTGCATGAGAAAGCGGACCTCGTAGGGCTGACGGTAGGTGAGAGCGTGAAGAGCTCCCAGACCGAACCACCACTCACCCTCCCCTGGCGTACCGAAACCTCGGCGGTACTCAGCCCACGTTCTGCAGTGATTTTAAGTGTGTGAAACGATGGTGGCTCCACCTTCCTTCAGGTAATTAATCCCACCATCCTCCCCATTGCATTAAAACACAGATACAGTGACTTACCTAAGTAGTCTTAGGGTTAATCATTTCCTGGGCTAAAAATCCAAACACAATTTTCCCCATGACAATTATTATCATTATTATTATTGATGTTGTTGTTGATGTTAATATTAAATTAATGTGAGGCGGTAAGCGCACATGGGCTCTCATGCGCAAAGAGTATCGTAGCTTCAGCCTCCTGGGTTCTGACACATGACCGGCGTCTGACAGGGCCAGGTTGTTCAATAAATGCCCTCACTCGAAGCCGTAAACTTCTCCCATTCATCGTGGAATTTATACTGTACGTCCGGTCTTACTTATACTTCACCTCACAGTCGAACCCCCACATCCCTGACATTCTCTCTCATGGGAAGGCTATTTGAAAACATTGGTCACATTATTTATGCTTGAATGTTGTGAGCTGCACCAATATTCTTGAACATGGTGAGTTTCCCCATCATATTCTTGAATAAGGTGTGTTTCACCATCACTAATAGTATTTTATGAGAATGGTGTGACTCACATGCTGGAATCAAACAAGGAAAGGTGGAATAACTAAAACAGCTGGAATAGTGAGTCGAACTGTTAAAAAATTACGTTCATTATTGAGAGAGAGAGAGAGAGAGAGAGAGAGAGAGAGAGAGAGAGAGAGACAGACAGACAGACAGACAGACAGAGACAGAGACAGACAGACAGACAGACAGACAGACAGAGCGAGAGAGGAGAAGAAGGAGTAGAAGAAGAAGAAAAAGAAGAAGAATAAGGAGGAGGAGGAGGAGAAGAAGAAGAAGAAGAAGAAGAAGAAGGAGGAGGAGGAGGAGGAGGAGGAGGAGGAGAACTATAAGAACAAGATCAAGACAAACAACAACAATCCACCTGTTAAAGTCAACAAGGCCCCACGTAGTGTTGCGTCGTCTTAGAATCAGTGTCCAGCCCCCGGACGTCTTGGAACTGTTCGTACCCATGTCACACCACGAGTCCCTGGCAGCCTGAAGGAGGAGGAGACGGAGGAGGAGACGGAGGAGGAGACGGAGGAGGAGACGGAGGAGGAGACGGAGGAGGAGACGGAGGAGGAGACGGAGGAGGAGACGGAGGAGGAGACGGAGGAGGAGACGGAGACGGAGAAGGAGACGGAGGAGGAGACGGAGGAGTAGGGTAATGAAAA